GGGTGAGGGAGGGGCGTAGGCAAGGGTGAGGGGGGGGGGGCGGTTGAGTCTGGAGTTTGAGGCGCACGCAAAAGTGCCGCCTTGAAGCTCCATCAAGCACGGACGGGTACAAAGGCGTGGATGAGGGGAGAACGGCGGGCGCACGCAGCCCCCCAGCTGTCGACGGCTGCACGCTGTAGGCGGCGGTGGCGGCCAGAGTTGGTGCCAAGTCAGCAGAGCCACCCTGGCAACGGCCCCAGAGTTCCTCCGGTGAGCATCCCGTGATGGAGGAACACACACACGCACACACACACACACACACACACACACACACACATATACACATTCCCTTCCTCAAACACACATACATACATACGCACACACACCACGGAGCCCAAACCCAACAACTGCAGGCAAACACAAACACAGCGGCGCGCACACACACACACACACACACACACACACACACACACACATACATACGACACTCATCGCCCTACCTTGCTGATGCCAGCATGTAGGGGTCCTTAGGGTTCCAGGCCACAGCGTTGACAGTGCCCGCGTGGCCCTCCAGGGTCAGCAGGCGGTCACCCGAGTCACGGTGCCAGATGTACACCTGGTGACGTCATCGGTGGGGGGTAGGGGTGGGGTGGAGGGTGGGAGGGGTCAGGGTTTTGCAGCCCAGATGCGGGGATGGGGCAGCCGTACATGTTATGAGAGGGGTGTGAGCTCCGTGCGCACGTCCAGAGCTGCACGAGCTCTCAAGCACATCCCGTGAAGAGTCCAACCTGGTGAATTTTACGCGAGTGTGGGCAAGCAGGCACATGCGCATGCACATGCAGGCACTCATGCGCGACACACACACCCACACACCCACACACAAACACATACACACACACACCCACACACAAACATACACACACACAGTTGCCCACCTGGCAGTCCTCGCTGCCGTGCACCACGAAGCCGCCCCCCGCGCCCCCAAACCCGCTGCGCAGCACGAAGCGCCCCGGCCGCCCCTCGTTGGCGGTGTACTCCGCCACTGGGGCCGACGGTAGTGCGTCAAGGGGGTCGCATCCTGGGGGGGGGACGGGGGGCCGTGGATGAGAGACACTCCGGCCTCATTGCGCTGCACTTGTTACACTCTGGGGATGCAAGTGATGGACTCGTGGCCATGGGAGACTGGGCATGGGCGGGTTTGTGACTCCACACTCGAGGTTTGAGGTGTGGAAGACGCAGGCTGGGGGCGAGTCGCCCTGGACAATGGCGCCTGCGAGTGGTCTCGGTGCTAAGGCCTGGGGCACGAACGTCTTGACGCGGGACGCGAACAAGATTCAGGGGCCCCGCAGCGCCCGTTCCCGTGCGCGAAACGTCGCCCCTCTTCCTCCGGGATCAACCCCAGGTGCAGCGGTCCGCAGGCGCCCAGCGGCCCCAACCCTCCAGGCCGGCCTGGACCTCGGCCACCCCAGGCACCAGCTCATATTCCCATCCCTCCTCCCGCACACACATGAACGCAACCCATGAATCCCGTATTTTCCTGAATCCCTGAACTGCTGCAACCCTCTACCCTCTAAGCCCCTGAAAACCAGAAGAACCATTCCAAACCCTCCCGCAACACCCCCAAATACCTGTTGCTTGAACCCCTCATCCCTCACGCCCTGAACCCTGAAACCCTCACAACCCTCACCGGCGTCGAGCGCCGCGGCCAGCTCCCCCGGCCGCCCCGCCAGCAGCGGCCCCAGGTCCCAGAGGTGCAGCGTGTGGCTCTGCAGGCTGGTCAGCAGGTAGCGGCCGCCGGGGGCCAGGGCCAGTGACGTCAGCGGGGCGGTCTCCTGGATGGCCCCCTCCCGCATGTCAGACAGCCTGGCGGGTGGGGTGGTGTGTGTGTGTTGAGTTGTGTGTGAGTCTGTAATGGTGTGAGTGTGTGTGTGTGTGTAGGGGTGGGATGAACGCATTGGTTGCAAAATTGGGATTCAACGATCGCGGTCACAGTGCTAGTGGGGCGACAAAGGGTGTGGACAGCGCGCTCCCTTGCAGGGGCTCGGGGCTGCACTGACAGCCCAGCAATGCGCCACGGCCGCCTTCGGTCCTTTCACGCGCCCGGGGTCGTCCGACGCCGCAGCCCCGCCACCCACGCACACCGCACAAGGGCGCGAGCGCCACAGCCACCGCCTTCCTGTTTCCCTTCAGAAAAAAGTCCATAACATGCATCCTGTACGAAGAACGTCATGAAGTGTGCCGCCCCTCGCTGTTCATGATGTGTAGACCCCCCGCCCCCCACCTGACTATCTGCAGCTTCCTGTCACTGGAGCAGGCCAGGATGAGGTACGCCCCGTCCCTGCTCACTGCCATGTCCTGCACCGGCAAGGGGCGCTTCCACTTCTGGGGGGGGGGGTTTGGGGAAAGGGGGTAAAGTGGGTGGGTGTGGGGTTGGATGACGGACTCAAGGGCGGCGGGGGCTTGTGGGGAGAGGAGTGTCGGGGTGAGAGCTGCCAGGCGCCACAACCACATTGAAGCGTAATCACACCAAGCCCTCAGATCAACATGCCCCTCCATAACAGAGCGACAAACAGGC